CTATTCTATTCTATTCTATTCTATTCTATTCTATTCTATTCTATTCTTCTATTCTATTAGTTTTGTTGTGAAATGAAATGGATGTCTTCCCAACAAGGCAAATCATTCTGTCTCTGGGCGATATAGGTGGCTTCTAAATTCAATAATAAATAATAAATAAAAATAAATAAGTACAGGTAATACTCAATTTATGACCGTCTGCCTATTATGGATCAACGTCATAAAGTCCCTTTTATGGGCGGGCTCTGTTGTAACTCCAAAATGGTCGCAGGTTGAAAGCGGCCTGCAGGAACCCTCCAGGTCTGCCTCTGCCCTCCAGCTGTGCCGGATGAGCCCTTGGCTGAAAGGGGGGCACTGACCCAAACTCAGCCTCTCTCACCTGAGCTGAGAAGGGAAGACGGCCGAGACCCCCACGGGAGGGGCCACAAACAATGAAGCCCCCTTTGTTGGCAGGAGGAGCTGAATGCTCACAGAGGCCCATGGGGGTGCGGGTGGAGGAATTGGCAGCATGAAATGGCAGAACGGCCCCTTTTCCCTATTTCCAGTTGACCTTCGGTGTATCCCAGGACTGGACCTTCTTCCCAAGGAGCCTTAAATCCATGGAGAGGAAGAGCCTCCCTCAGATTTGAGGAGTGTCTGGGTACCAGGTGCCTCTGGGGAACCAGGTGTCCGGATCAAGGGGCTCACAGGGGGCCCTACCTGTGTTTGGAGGGGGGGAGATGCCAGAAGCCCCCCTGAAGTAGCCAATAGGAGTCAGGCAGATCCCAGCTCCTCAGCACATCAACAACTACAGTGCATGGACTGCAGAGCACGGAGCCATCTGACGGCCATCTTGACTTGGTCCATACTCTAAAAACATTCTACTTCATTATTTTAAACAATATTTTTATGGACGATGATATTCACAGATCAAACAAAGAAACTCAATACAACTACCGTATGTACAGTATGTCTGTGAATATACTGTATGTGTGTATGTGTGTGTTTGAACATATGAAAAAGACAATGTGAAAAAAAGCAAAAGAAAAATCCCTCCAAAAAAGAAATATTCCCCCCTCATCCTCAGCTAGCATATTCAACATCAACACTTTATCACTAAATATCCAAACAGATGCATTTTCATTCCATCCCTCGCCCCATTTTCTGCTCTCTAAATCTTCAGTTCTCCTTATTGATCAATAAAGGTCTGGTAAAAATTATCAAGGATACCTGGGTGCCTTGACGGTAACAACTTATGATCAAAATCCATTCTCATAAGTCAAAGACTTCCTGTACTCTGCAAAACATTATATCTCCTTCTTACACACTCATAACTCTTTTGTGTCATCACTCTGGTAAATGACTAATGTGGCTTTGTGAGTAAACAACCTCACACAACCAACACCTATGCCCTTTTGCCTCACTGGGTACTCTCTGATGGAGTTTTTGGTTGCTTGACTAGGAAAAACATTTTCCCCACACCCAAAAAATGGTAGCATTTCCCTTCTGACACTGTGTGTTATTTCTGGTGAATTATAACATGTGCTTTTTAAAAAAACACGTTTTCCACATTGTCCACAACTAAACAGGTTTAACTCTTTCTGGTGTGTTTTTAACTTTGATTTGCAATGAAATGATTTCTCATACTCTACACACTTGTGAAGCTACTCTCCTGTGTGATTTCGGGTGTGCATCCGAAGTGCTGAAGGTTGGGCAAAACATTTTCCACACTCCAGACATTTATATGGTTTTTCTCCAGTGTGGATTCGCTGATGCAACACAAGAGTATCTTTCCGAGCAAAACATTTATCACACTCTGCGCATTTGTGAGGTTTCTCTCCTGTATGAATTCGGCTGTGACTTCTAAGGGAAGAAGGTTCAGCAAATGCTCTCCCACAGTCCAAACATTTGTAATTTTTTTCTCCTGTGTGAATTTTCATATGACTTCTAAGGGCTGATATGGTACGATAGAATTGTCCACATTCGTTGCATTGATGTGGCTTTTCCCCAGTGTGGGTTTTATGATGTCTCCAAAGATTTCCCTTTTGAGTAAAAGATTTTCCACATTCCTCGCATTTGTATGGCTTCTCTCCTGTGTGGAGCCTCTGATGGCTTCCAAGGTGCTGTTTTTGGGAAAAGCATTTCCCACACTCCTCACATTTGTAGGGTTTCTCCCCAGTGTGGATTCTCTGATGAATCTGAAACTCTCCTGATGAAATAAAACTTTTTCCACACTCCCCACAGTTATAGGGTTTCTCCTCTTTGTGACTCTTTTGGTGTGTTTGAAGTTCATAAGAATAGATAAATCTTTTCTCACACTCTGGGCATTCATAGGGTCTCTCTCCAGTGTGGAGTTTCTGATGTCGCAGCAGGGATGATTTTGTGGGAAAACATTTCCCACATTCGAGGCACTTTTCGTTTTTCTCCCCTCTGTGCCTTTTCTGATGACTCCGAAGAGATGACCTCTGGATGAAACATTTTCCACACTCAAAGCACTTGTGAGATTTTATTCCCGCATGAACCTTCTCATGGATCCAAAGACTTGAGTTCTGAGCAAAGCACTTCCCACATTCCCAACACTTGTAAGGTTTCTCCCCTGTGTGGATCCTCTCATGGTTTCTGAGAGTGCATTTCTCACGGAAAAAATTCCCACATTCCAGACATTCATAAGGTTTCTCTCCAGTGTGGATTTTCTGATGTATACGAAGGTGTGATCTTCGACTAAAGCATGAGTCACATTCCTCACATTTATGGGATTTTAGTCTGGGGGGGCTTCCGAGATCTTTGGAGTTTTTTCCAGGGAAGTATTTCTCACTCTCAAGATCTTTACTGGATCCACTTCCGACATGGACCTTCCTGTGGGTCAAAAGGAGGGACTTGCGAGTAAAGGATTTTTCACACTCTGAGCATTCATGAGGTTTTTTGTGGTTTTTCGGAGTGCTGCTTGTGTGTGACGGGGGATCCAACAGTTTCCCAGGCTCCATGTGTTTTGGTGGTTGATGTCTTAAGCTGATTTACTATTATCTGTTGATAGTTGAGTTGCAGGAAAATCTTTGGTGACAGTTGCTTTCCTGCTGGTAGAAGAGAAAAGAAGAGAGAATAATATTTCTTTTTGAGATTGATAGAGTGTCACAAAATCTTAGCTTTGGGAGGGCCGCCTGGTTTAAGCATTTATGGAAGGCAGCCTTCTGGCCATCAGCTTTTTCTGATATCTGATAACAAGACCAGCCTCAAAACTGCCATAAAATTTGTCCTTTGTATAACATCCAACAACAAGGTGCTGCCACATCACAGGGAAAACAAGGAAAATATTGTTTTTTAAAGATTCTGCCCAACTTTTCAAGAAAAAGCAAACTAAGCACTAGCATAAGAAGAAAGATGATTAAATCCTCTTTTTCAGATTAAGAAAGAAAAAGGATCTGACATCATAACGGGATTCCAATATTTAAGGGGCTGCCACAAGGAAGAGGCGGTTATTCTCCAAAGCACCTGAAGGCAGGACAAACCATAGGTGGAAATTAGGAGAAATTTCCTCAAAGTGAGAAGAATTAAGGAGAGGAACTGGTTGCCTCCAGAAGGTCAGGGGGCACTTGAAGTTCCCAGACCTTTCCTTTCCCCAAAAGAGGGAGGGGAGGAAGTCCCGCCTGCAGCCCCTTTGTTTGACCCGGAATCTTGCCTGCCAGCTTTTCCGGGCAATGCGGGGACCGGGTGAGAACGGACAATCCCTTGGACTCTGGGAGACTGACCGGGAAGTTAAGTTAATGAGTGATGTTGGAAGCATGTGTGTGTGTGTGTGTGTGGTTCAGGTGGTTCTCCTAGCTTTAGAAGGAGAGAGAGAAGGAGGAAGGGAAGGGATACAGAGGGAAAGAGAGAGGAAAAGAGAGGGAGAGAGAAAGAGATGGAAGACACAAGAAAGAAAGAAAAGGGAAAGAGAAAGGAAGAAAAGGAATAGACAAAGAAAGAGGGAGGATGGAAGGAAGGAAGGGACAGAAAGAAAAAGAAAGATGAGGAAGTGAATGATATATATGGATGGATAGCTAGCTAGAATGAGATATGGATGGATAGATACATGGAAGGAGGGAGGGAAGGAGAGAGGGAAAAAAAGGAGAGGAAGGAAGGACACAAACCCTGGTTTTGGAAGACTTTTTGAAATAGCACTGCTAGGGCCGGCCTGGAAGGGATCTCAGAGGTCATTTTCCAGGCCAACTTCCTCCTCCAGCAGGGTTAGAAGGGAGTGTATATGTGTGTGTGTGTGTGTGTGTGTGTGTGCATGGCTGTCAAAATTCCCAAAACAAGTCAAATAGCTCTGGGGAGGTCAGTCATAAATTAGAACACTTACTAAGCAGCCGGCCATTAAGTGAGGACCACCTGTATTTGGTTTGCCAGTCACCTGGCCACACCCCTGTCACATGACTGCCAAGCCACGCCCACAAATTAAGCCACGCCCATAGAACCTGTCGTTAAAGAATTTTGACTCCCAGCCCTGCTCCCAACTCTTATTATTTTCTTATTCTGTTATCCTTTTTTAGGGTTGGGAGAACATGAGCTCCGTTCCGTCCTAAAGAACCTGTGACCGCCAGGCCTTCAGGCCCTCCCGGAAGTCGCCCTGCGGAGCCTCTGGAAAGCCCCCAAGTGGTTTCCTTCCCTTCTGGGAGGCAGCCGTGAGACAGAACCGGAGCATAATCATTTAAAAAAAAACATTTATAAGAATGTAAGCCTTTCAAAATTCATTGAAATAATTCTGAATTTTTGATACTCAACTCAGTGGCTCAATTCAACCCACTAAACCTTTTCTTTCCCTAACCACCCCCTCTCCCCCTGCTGATTAAAATGAGCAGAAAAAGTGCAGAGAAGAGCAGCCAGGATGATGAGGGGGCTGGAGACTAAAACATATGAAGAACGGTTACAGGAACTGGGCCTGGCTGGTCTAGTGAAGAGAAGGACCAGGGGAGACAGGATAGCGGTCTTCCAATATTTGAGGGGCTGCCACAGAGAGGAGGAGGAAGGAGACAAGCTATTTTCCAAAGCACCCAAATGAAGCAGCTTGGAAGGTCAAAAACAAAATATGCATTTACCAGAAATCCTCTGACCCCCTTACCTTGCTTCTTATAGAAATATTGTGCAAAACTACGAAATTGCTGGACTAAGGAACTGGAAGTAAGCATGTTTCAGTGAATAAGGATGGGTCTGGAAAATAACAGATATGTACTACTCCTTTTTCTATAGTTTTAACATAAGAAACGCCCCGGGCTAGGCTGAGGTTATGAAATGTATAAAAGTGACGCCTCGGGAAGAGCCAGGGGTTCAGAATTTGCCACTCTAATGCTCTGAACCTTGTGCACAAATAAAAACCTGTATTCTCCAACCGTTCGTGGTCTTGTGTCCTGATTGGGAAACAGGATCTGCTGCAACACAAAGGCCAGACAAGCAATAACGGATGGAAACTGATCAAGGAGAGATTCAACCTGGAAATAAGGAGAAACTTTCTGACAGGGAGAACAATCCACCCATGGAACAGAAGTTGCTTTCGGAAGTTGTGGGAGCTTCATCTCTGGAGGCTTTCAAGAAGAGATTGGACACCCATCGGTCAGAAAAGGTGTAGGTAGGGTCTCCCACTTGGGTGGCGGGTTGGACTAGATGACCTACAAGGTCCCTTCCCACTCTGATTGATCTGTAACCTGTAAATGAGTTCAGTCTGTGACAACATCACACATATTACAATCTCGGGAAAAGTTTTCACGCTACATTTCACTCACTTTTCAAACTGCACTTGAGGGAAACGGATGTTGAGAGGTTTCCTGTTCAAACGGACCACAGAGAGACCTTCTGAAAGCAACCTCCCCCAAAGCTCCTCCCCGGATCCCCTCCGGGGAGCCTTGGCCGGGCGAGGAGGGGGCAGATCCAGCCCGGGGGAGGGAGCCCCCTTCGCCCCCCCGCTGGAGGGAAGGGAGGGATCCGCTCCCTGCAGGCGACGCCAGAGCCGGATCTCCCCGAGGAAAAGCCGAGAAGCCGAAGAGCGGGATCCGCGGCAGCTCCCTTCCTCCTGGCGGGGGGAAGATCTCCTGGCTGGAGGGCGGAGGGAGAGCAGCCCCACCTGTCCCGAGCGGGACCCAGCAGCCTCTCCCGAGGGATCCAGCGCCGATCCTCCAAGGAAGAAGCGGGACACGCGGAGGGAAGAGGCGATCCAGGGAGTGGGAGGGGAGAGGCGGGGGCGGGGCTTCTGCTCTCTGGCTCCTCCTCCGCCATGAAGCTCCGCCCTTGGACCGACTCCTCGGCCCCCCTCCTTCCCTTTTCCCCTCTGATCTCCCCTCCCCACCCCCAAACCAGGACCCCGGGCTCCGAAACCTCCTCCGATGGGCGTCGGTGTCGAGGGTTCCTCTGCCCATGGGAAGAGTGTCCCTCCCTGCAGGCTGGGTGCGGGGCTGCCTCTCCCGCTCCGGCGCGTGTTGCTTTAAGGAGCCCAGACAGATGCTTTTTTCTTTTCTTTTCATTTTTTTTTCTCTTTAGGAACTCCGTTCAAAGTTCCCGTAACTCTTTGCGGCAACCTGCAGTTCACTTTTTTTAATGCCTATTTGATGCCTTCATGGATGTTTTTCCTCCTGACTGGATAATAAATCTTTTAATTTTCCTCCCAGGGGCTTTTCATTCAGTCATCCCCACGCCTGACAGGGATCTGGAACAGCCGCTGGTGCAGAGGTCACGGGATGACCATCATGAGAGTTTAAATTGGGGGGGGGTCTCGGGGGGGGGGTTTCTGCAGAGTTTCACACTCTTGGGTGGGTCGTCTCCCTGTCCCCAGAGACCCCAAGAGAGGAGAGGAGAGAGTTCGCAGGGAGGCAAAAAAACACAACAGGGAAACAAGCCTGACAAGGGCGCTAAGCCACGGCAAAATGGAAAGGATTTTATTTTTTTTAATATTTATTTATTTATATCCGCCTTTATTATTCTTACAAATAACTCGAAGCAGGGAACATATCCCACACTTCTTCCTCTACTCAATTTTCCTGACGACAACCCTGTGAGGCGGGCTAGGCTGAGAGAGGGACTGGCCCGAGGTCACCCAAGGTGGCTTTCATGGCCAAGGCGGGACTGGAACCCACGGCCTCAGGCTTTCTGATCTAGGGCTTTAACCGCTAGGCCCTCCTGGATGCCCTGGGTGTGGATTGGGAATGGTCATCTTTGCAGATGGGTGTGAAGCAGTGGAAAAAAAGAGCATATAAAGCACTTTTCATATTTATCACAGGTCAACAAGTCATATTTAGCAAAGGTCCCAGTTTCCCGTTGCTTTGCTTAACATAACGTTGTGTAAACCCACAAAATCGCTGAACTCAGGAACTTGAACTAACCACGTTACTGTAAACAAGGGTGAACATGGAAAATAACTGATGGTGTAAGATAACTGAGTAATTAAAAATATACTTGTTATTTCCGTTTTATGCTTCCTTAATAGAAATATATACAATATTGTCCTTATTTGGTAAAATGTAGTAAGAGTAACGCCCAGGTCTACGCTGAGGTCATAATGGGTATAAAAATATTGTCTCAGAAGGAGCTGGGGGGGTTCAGAATTTGCCACGCTAATGCTCTGAACACTTTGCGCAAATAAAACCTGTATTCTCCAACCTTTCGTGGTCTTGTGTCCTGATTTGGAAGCAAGATTTGCTGCTACAGGTGGACTTCATCTCCCAGAATTCATGCTGGCTGGGGGATTCTGGGAGCGGAAATCCACCCATCTTAAAAGTCGTCAAGGTTGAGGAACACGGATATTGACGTACACATGCATACACCAGTGTCCACGTGACACACGTCCATGTTTGAGGATAGTTAATCTTTATGAAAACTATCCCCCCCTTCGAGAAGGAGAGATGTAAGAATTCAAATGCACATTTAAGGTTAAGAACTTGTTCGAGGTGAGTTTGGCTGGCAGGGCCCTTGCTAACTTCTGCCAGAAGCAGCTGAAAGAGGGGAGACAAACCATTATAAAACTGGTAATTAACCCAGATTGTGATGGTTACAATCTGCTATCCAGTGAGACCCAGGAAGTGGGGCTTTTCTGCAGCAGGCCCTGCCGTGGGGAAGACCCTGCAGACGCTTCTGGAAAGCTGAAGAGGGCCGTCCGTCCCCCCCAGTTTCTGGGACAGGAGGATTAGAGATGGTGGGAGGGGTGTGTGTGTGTTTCAGATGCCAGGGTTTTTTGGGGTTCTCTTGGTTTTGGTTTAATTTTGCTTGTGAGCCCCCAACCGGTAGCTGCTGTTGTTTCACGAGAGGTGGCCATAGAATGAAATGGATGTCTTCCCAACAAGGTGGTTTCTAAATTTGATAATAAATAAAAGTAAATAAGTACAGGTGATCCTCAACTTATGGCCGTCTCCCCATTATGGATCACCGTCATAAAGTCCCTTTTGTGGGGGGGCTCTGTTGTAACTTCAAACTGTCACAGGTTGAGGGCGGCCTGCTGTGACCCTCCAGGGCTGCCTCTGCCCTGCAGCTGTGCCGGATGAGCTCTTGGCTGAAAGCGGGGACTAACCCAAACTCGGCCTCTCTCACTTGGCCACCAATGATCTGCCCTCAAGAGCAGGGATCCATCCAAATGCCAGCCCAGCACGTTTCTCCTAAAGTTCCCCCTTTGAATGCAACAACAGGAAGTCAAAAGTGTCCAGCGAGGGAGGATGGAGCCCAAAGAATCGGGATGGCAGCTGTTTGTACACAGTTGATTTTCTCTCCGTTTTCAAGGGCATCACACACACACAGCTAAAAAAAAAAAAACCAGCAAGATTTTGACTAAACACTATGGCACAATTTGGCTGCCATCTTCTTTACATCCTGCCAGTCCATACCCTGAAAATAGTCTTCTTAATTATTTTGAAGAACAATTTTATTAAGGATTGCATTGGAGATCCAACAAAGAAACAATACAAGTATATGTGTGTGAAAACATGAAAAAGACAATGTGAAAAAAATCCCTCCCAACATGGTAGTAAGAAAAAGAAACTTTCCCTCTTCATCTTTAGCAACCATATTCAACATAAACATTTTAACACAATAAACAATCAGATGCATCTTCATTCCACCTTCACCCCATTTTCTCCTCTCTAAATCTTCAGTTCTCCTTATTGATCAGCAAAGTATAGTAAGAATTATCAAAAATACCTGGGTGTCTTCACTTATGACTGTAGCAACTTATGACTGGAAATCCATTCCAAGTTGTGGCCTAAGTAAAGGACTTCTTGTACTCTGCAAAACATTAAATCTATTCTACTTCCCACATTTTTAAAACTCTTTTGTGTAATCATTCTGGTAAGTTACGAATTTGGCTTTGCGAGCAAAACCTCTTTATAGTCTCAACACTTCTTCCCTTTTGCCTCATTGTGTTCTCTCTGATGGGATTTGAGGTTGCTTGAGTAGGAAAAACATTTTCCCCACATCAAATGTTTGTAGGATTTCCTTTCTGTCACTGTGTGAAGTTCCTGGTAAACGTTAACATGTTGGGGGAAAAAAGGGTTCCCAACATTGTTCACAACTGAAGAGATTTATCTCTGCTATGGACTTTCTGGTGCATTTTTAGTTTTGATTTACTATGAAAAGATTTCTCACACTCTACACACTTGTAAGGCCGCTCTCCTGTGTGACTTCGGGTGTACATGCAAAGTGCTGAGGATTGGGCAAAACATTTTCCACCCTCCAGACATTAATACGGTTTTTCTCCAGTGTGGATTCTCTCATGATTCAAAAGATTATCTTTCCGAAAAAAAACATTTATCACATTCTGAGCATTTGTGAGGTTTCTCTCCTGTATGGATTCAGCAGTGATTTCTAAAGGAAGAAGAATTAGCAAATGCTCTCCCACAATCTAAACATTTGTAACTTTTTCCTCATGTGTGAATTTTCATATGACTTCCAAGGGCTGAAGGGGTACAATAAAATCTTCCACATTCATTGCATTGATGTGGCTTCTCCCCTGTTTGGGTTTTATGATGTCTCCAAAGGTTTGCCTTGTGTCTAAAATATTTTCCACATTCTGAGCATCTGTAGGGCTTCTCTCCCATGTGGAGTCTCTGATGTCTTCTGAGGTACTGTTTTCGGGAAAAGCATTTCCCACACTCCCCTCATTTGTAGGGCTTCTCCCCAGTGTGGATTCTTTGATGAGTCTGAAGCTCTCTTGGCAAAATAAAACTTTTCCCACACTCCCCACATTTATAAGGCAGCTCTTCTTTGTGCCTCTTCTGTTGATTCTGAAGTCCAGAAGAATTTACAAATCGCCTCTCACATTCTGGGCATTCATAGGGTCTCTCGCCACTGTGGTGTCTCTGATGTCTCACCAGGGATGATTTCAAGGTAAAACATTTCCCACATTCGAGGCACTTTTTGCTTTTCTCCCCTTGTGTGTTTTCCAATGATTGCGAAGACTTGAACTGTGGGTGAAATATTTTCCACACTCAAAGCATTTGTAAGATTTTATTCGTGCATGTGTCTTCCCATGGGACCAAAGAGCTGACTTCCGAGAAAAGCTCTTCCCACATTCCCAACACTTGTAAGGTTTCTCCCCTGTGTGGATTCTCTCGTGGATTCTGAGAGTGGCTTTTTGACGGAAAAATGTCCCACATTCCAGACATTCATAAGGTTTCTCTCCAGTGTGGATTCTCTCATGATTCAAAAGAGTAGCTTTCCGTGAAAAACATTTATCACACTCTGAGCATTTGTGAGGTTTCTCTCCTGTATGGATTCGGCTGTGACTTCTAAGGGTAGATGACTGAGCAAATGTTCTCCCACAGTCTAAACATTTGTAGTTTTTTTCCCCTGTGTGAATTTTCACATGAGATTTAAGGGCTGATGAGGTATAATAAAATCTTCCACAGTCGTTGCATTGATGTGGCTTCTCCCCTGTGTGAGTTTTATGATGTCTCCAAAGGCCTCCCTTATAAGGAAAAGATTTTCCACATTCCACGCATCTGTAGGGCTTCTCTCCTGTGTGGACCCTCTGATGGATTCCAAGGTCGTGTTTTCGGGAAAAACATTTCCCACACTCCTCACATTTATAGGGCTTCTCCCCTGTGTGGATTCTTCCATGAATCTGAACCTCAGTTTGTGAAAAAAAAACATTTCCCACACTCCCCACAATCATAGGGTTTCTCCTCTGTGTGCCTCTTCTGGTGTCTCCAAAGTTCAGAAGAACTTACAAATC